GGGCGCTGCTGATCGGCTGCCCTCAGGGACGGTGACAAACAGCCTTACCAGCTTTGTCGTGCATAACAAAATAAAAATACCCAAGGTTCAGATATAGTCATTCATGATTTAGAACTACTGACCAGAAAAAGGACAACTACATAGTAATACATGTCACCTTCACGGCTACTTTAATCAAATAGAAGGATTGATGCTACCTTTATAACACTTCCACAGCTGAAAGTGCAAAAAGTGTTCAGCAGCATATCGCTCAGATCTGTTTTAATCAGCAACCCGGAACCACGAAACCAACCCGAATTCCAAGACTTATGTGTCGTCTCCAAAGAGCTCAATAAGGTACAAGAAGAACCCTGGACCTTTCAAGATGATATTTCTTGTTGTTTTCACGATAAAATAGCTTCTTATCAACAGTATAACAAAAGTTAATCTGACATTTATGTTATACAATTACCAAAGTTACGAATGTAGTAAATATAAGGTGATTATAAATATGATAAATGTTATGTGTGTTACATAATTACAAAATAAGAAACCTGAGGCTTTTGGAAGTTAAACCAAGTACTGTTGGAAGAGAAACCGATTACTTTCGGAAGGTAGCCCCTATTACTTATGGAAAGGGACATCAAACACGTTCAAAATTTCGGTTTTTTTTAGAACTCAGGTTTATTAAGTTTCATGTTTTCAAGTATTTTTTTCTGTACAAATTCAGTGTTTTCTCATTTCAGAAAGTGGCTGGCTTCATCGTTTTTGTATCATCCTTTGTTTTAATGAGTTTTCCTACAACTCAATACGGAGGGAAACCGATGTGGACCATATGGATCATTTTATATTACTTTCTAGCTTCCGGAATATGGCCGATTTTACCCGTTATGACAGCTCAAATCTTCGGAAGAAACCATAGCAGTACTATCTACGGAATGGCCATTGGAATACCGGTAAGCTTTATTAGGTTTTGTGGTATCATCTCTTGGAAATAGTGATAGGATATTTTGACGTTAAATAGAATGTGAAGAAAATAACGTTATCATATTTGGGTGATATTGTACTTTAATGAGATTTCCGCTATGTATATATTCCGGTAACAATAAGTATCAAACAACCACGAGGTTTTGAATATTTAATTTGAATGTACAATTGCACATTATTACAATGTTTGTATTTACAATAAACGATATTTCACATCAACAGTACAAATGTATAGAATGACACTGTTCGGATCGCCATTAGAGAAGTATAGTATATATATACGACAATGCTCGTGTCAGGAATATAATACATATTATAACAATATTCGTATTGGCAATGCAAATACTCAGTATGGCAGCGTTTTGTATCGGTAATGGAAATATACAATATTGCATTATTCGTATCAACAATAATGTAAAAATTGCAGTTACAGTGTTCGTATTGCTTTTGATAGTACGCTTGCCTGTTTATCTAAGCACAAAGCTGTACAATGGGCTATCTACGCTGTGCCCACCGCTGGGAGTAAACTCAGATTTTTAGCGTGATAAGTCCTAAAGCTTACCTTAGAGCCTCCCACCCTCGATGGGACTGAATTCACCCTTCATATTTTACACTAACAAAATCTTTATTTGTCTCTTTCTCACTTATGGTCATACTGTCTGGCTTTCTGCTCCGTCCAATTTTCACCATCAACTACAAGTTCCGGAACGTCATGCTGTAAGACTCGTCTTCCACTTCAAACTACCTTGTCCTACACAAGATTATATGACCTTCTCATTCATCTCCAAGACCTTAGCATTAGGTATGTTCAACGATGTTTTCCCAATCAAAATGTCATATTTTCTACATCTGCTCTCCATTCCTGACTGACCACCTCGGAAAGTCCCAGTATATCACTTATGCAACTCTCTGTCATCTTGCCTCTTCCTGATGATTCCGATTATAAAGACTCTCCCCATCCGAGTATACCCAGTTACATTTATCCTGAGGGATGATGATTTTATTCCTTGACCATTTATGTCACTCATTGCTGTTGGACTACTTTTTCCAGTTCTCACTCTTTAACAATGACACATCCTTGTATCCAAAAAACTTTTCCATCATTTACAGCTCCAAATAATTTTCTTCAGGTCTTCTTTCCTTTTACTTATATCTTTCATGCTTGCGTTTTCATCTAGCTCTTGATCGAAGATAAGTCATAATACTTTATGGCTCAACAGCTTCTAGAGTTGGAATGAAAAAAATCTTGCTACACTCTTTCAAGCAGCATTGATGAACCGTGAATTCGGCGAAACTAGTCTGCTACAGCGGGAGTAGCGATTTAAAGAATAGATTAGGTTTTACGTAATCTTTTATTCACTGAAACTCGTGTTTTGATGAGGGAAATAAATTTATAGACAAATAACCAGTTTGTCTGCTGAATAATAATGAATAATTATTCGTAACGGTATGTCACATATTTTCTAAACACCTACTGTTGTTTAGGTTCTTTACGGTCAGTAAAGGATTTTACAGAAAACCAAACAAATATTATTGATGTTACATTATAAATGTTGTTTGTGTTGAATTGGTCAAGTTTTAAATGCTCGAAAAAGCAGGATAATCTAAACAGTTTCAGAGTGTTAACGAAAAAAACCACAGATAGAAAACTAAGTAATGTATAAACAGTTAGTAACGTGTGATGAAGGTTAACGAAAATAAATGAATTCAACAATTACACTTTTACACATATTCCAAAAACCTTTTTAAGCGTTATTAAATAAACTAGTCTCTATAATAAACCAACTTTCTTATATTAATCTGAGGTTCTGTGATCCGTGCCTCGTTACTGCAAAAAACAACAACAAATAGAGCTCTGTACGCTTGGAACCGTAAGTATGTTATAAGAGTGGCAGTCAAATCCTACCATTCTATGAGAGCAGTTCACGAGTTGGCGGTGGGTGGTGGTGACTAGCTGCCTTCCCCCTTGTCTATCACTTCAAAAATTCGGACGGCTAGCGCAGATATAGCTTCAGCATCTTTATGAGAAATTCAACAAATTAACAAACCTATAATAATTTAAATCGTTTCTCAACAATAAGCAAATACTTTTATATTGGATTAATACACTTTTATTCGGTAATTACCTCCATACAATAAACAAGCACTTCTGTATTGAGTTAAACTTTTTTCCCATAAATATCATTGTACAATAAAAAAACACCTCTTTATTAATTTAAAAGGCTTCTAATTAGTAAGCACCTCTATTTAATGATCAGACACTTCAGTTCTAGTTTTAAACCCTTTTTTACAAAAAACATTTACATGCAAGTTCCAAAAGTTTCTTTAAAAATTTCTGTTTTCTTGCCAAATAATTACTGATTCAATCCCAATGCCACAGCGACAAGTCTGCAGCCTTATAACGCTAAAAACCTGGTTTAGATATCCGTGGAGGTCACAGCATAGATATCTCATTGTGTAGCTTTGTACTTAACTTAAAACAAACAAAACTAAATGATTCTTGGCTTTGGTCAGTTGGCTTAAAACCGTGAAAGTTGACTACATCAGTTTTTATATTTAAATTAATTCTAATTATTTGCAAAAGAAGATTCCAGCAAGGAAAAATGTCTGTGTACTACTGTAAAAATCGAGATATACATGTAGGACATATAGTAAATTATTTAAAAAATTAACTTTAATAAATGTACATATATATATATATATATTACGTGAGTTAATTATTTTACTATAATAGTTTTGACATAGTTTAATAAAAAAAAACTTATGTACGATTAATAAAACTAATAATAATAATAATTTTCGTCTCAGATGACGCTAAACATTCTGGGTACTTTGGTCATTGCTAAACTTCATGATCATTTTGGATGGTACGGAGCATGTGGTTTTATAGGCGGCTTGGGGTTTTTAAGTAAGTAGTCTTTAATATCAGATCTTGTATAGTTCTTATAACAACTGATTTTATATGGAATTTGGGACATTTAAGTAATTAGTCCTTAATATCAAATCTTGTATAGTTCTTATAACAATTGATTTTATATGCAACTTGGGACATTTAAGTAATTAGTCTTTAATATCAAATCTTGTATAGTTCTTATAACAACTGATTTTATATGCAACTTGGGACATTTAAGTAATTAGTCCTTAATATCAATTCTTGTATAGTTCTTATAATCATTGATTTTATATGCAACTTGGAACATTTAAGTAATTAGTCTTTAATATCAAATCTTGTATAGTTCTTATAACGATTGATTTTATATGCAACTTGGGACATTTAAGTAAGTAGTCTTTAATGCCAAATCTTGTATAGTTCTTATAATCATTGATTTTATATGCAACTTGGGACATTTAAGTAATTAGTCTTTAATATCAAATCTTCTATAGTTCTTTTAACTATTGATTTTATAGACGATTCGGGACGTCTAAGTAAGTAGTCTTTAATGCCAAATCTTCTACAGTTCTTTTAAAAAATGATTTTATAGACGATTTGGGACGTTTGAATAAGCAGTATTTAATGCCTTCTTTTGTATAGCTATTTAACCACGTGGTTTTATAGGTAGTTTGAGATTTTCAAGTGATCTTTAATATGAAATTTTGTGTAGTTATTTTACCCATGTAGGTTTTTCAATGGATTTGAGAGTTTTAATATATCTTACGCAATTTCGTTCTTTTATGCACGTGGTTTTGTAGATGGCTTGAAAGTTTTACTAATTACTCTAAAGTACCACTTTTTTGTACTTACATTATTTCAAGCACAAAATTGAAAACCTTTTTTGGCTAAAATATGGGATAAAAACTCGCCAAAAATTAAAATTAAGCTAATTGAAACAAGTGTTAAAATCAATTACATTTAATTTAAATTGATAAAAATTGTAAGTTATATGAAGAAATTTAATTTGATAAAATAAAACATGTTAAACTTAAAATTTTAACATTGGATAAAAAAGCTTGATGTAAAGAATGGTTTTATACTCAAAAACTTCAAATACTAATATTAATTCTGTTCAGTGACAGTTTACATAAAGTCCTGTTGCCTCAAGTTTAACGTTTAATAGCTGAGGTTCAATAGATCGATATTACGCGCCCGCCATTCTAATTCGAGAACGAAGCTCTTAACCCTTTAAGCCTATAATTTTTAACTCGTTCTGCCGGAATTATTTTCATGGTTTCCTAATAACCATACCTTATAAAATATACATTTTCTTAATTTTGTTTTTCCCTTTAGCATCAGGGGTATCCAGACGAAGCATTGTTGAGTAAATAGCCTCAAACCTCTTCCTTTTAAATATTTGATGATAGAAGGGTGTGTAGAGCGATTGGTGGGTATCGAAGTAGTCTCGACTGCTAGGTAGTTTGTCGATGCCCATTGATGTTGTAATCGCAAGGAACTTCAGCAGCTCATATGGGTAAAGAGAGTCCAGCTCAAATACCTCGACCGTCTCTCAGGAGGCGTTTTCTTTGCAACTTGTGCTTTGGCTACTTGTTGATAGCAATGACGAAAGTATTACTTATATGTTAGTAAAGAGAGCTCTGAAACAGTCGAGAGGCGTTGAGTTATCATTGACTTCAGCATATATACCAGGATCACATGTCCAGGACTTGACATTAATATTAATAAACAATTTATCATAAATATCAATAAATCAACAATAATGGAACCAGGAAAAAGAACCAGAAAGACAAAACGTAATTCCAAAGAAACCAAAACAAATACAGTATTTAAACAATACCTTTCAATATCGAGTGACAAACAGCCAAAACTATATCCTTCAATTACACACACACACACTCGCTCTTAGTGAAACTTCTGGTAGGGTATCTATTCACAGAGTAGGTCACGAGAATACAACCTCATGTGATCATAAATTTACATATTCTTCTGCTAGATTAATAGTATCTGTACGTCACCGTTAAGAAAGATGGTATAAGTTTTATCATACACACATATTTATTTACTCAAAATACAAATTATTATGTAGAAGGTGAATTCGAATTTTAATGCAACAAAAGTTCATAGATAAACTAAACGATAGAAGGAAATAATAAATGAATGATAAACACAACCATAATCATAAAAAATAGAATTTGCTAACTCACAAACGAAGTAGTTTTCATCAAAGAAGTTTGAGTGTAATGTCTTTTTAAAAGTATTTTTCATGTAATGCAGGGATTTTATGATTCTGATACTCATGGAATCGAATGCTATTTATACATATAAATACATGTTAAAACATCTGCACAAATTTTATGCAAATAATATCAGAATTGAGTATTATCTTGGGTTATCTTTTCTATATAAATCTATTATATCAAGAGGCACTTTATTGGCCAATCCAGGTAAAAAAAAAAAACAATTTAGAAAAGTACAGTATCAAAAACCATAGAAAAACCCCATGAGAAATAACAAAGCTCATCATTATCGTGGACTCTTACATAGAACGCTAGAAACCGAGTTTCGATACCCGTGGGGCACATCACTGATGGCCTATTGTGTAGCTTTGTGTTTAGCTTCAAACAAACAATCAAAACTTACTTACACATACAAGTGAATCAGATATACCAAGCATACGCTGAAAATAATGTTTGCATTAGAAATCCACTGGTTGGAAGTAGGGAACAAACTAGATTTTGTTAGGTTTAGGATCAAGGTAGTCCAGTTTATATACTTAATTAAATAAACGCTTCAACTACAGTCCACAATACACATTTAAGGTTAAAGCCGAATCCTGCATATTATAGCCTATGAAAAGGAAGGTAGAAAACTGTCAGGTTTGGATTAGTATTACACCAAAATAAAATACAAAAATATGTGATATCAGTTCAGAAACGCAATACGTGGAAAAGAGTGGCCAAGTTATAACATAAACAAAATCAAAAATGCATCAAAGTTTTGATATCACAATGAAATGCTAAGCTCGGTTTGGTTTGTCTAACTAGGCCTTGTGTTCTTTTTAATTCGAGTTAAAATTATCTATATTGAACAGCTGGTCTAGTAAGACAATCCAAAACATTGCTTGGTATTTCATTGTAATACCACAACCTTGAAGTTTTTTTTTTGGTTTTGTTTATTTTCTAACTTGGCTACCTCATTAACGTATTATGTGTAGTGCATCAGAACGTTTCCCTGTATAAATGTATTTATCCTTGAACGTGATGTGTAGTGCATCAGAACGTTTCCCTGTATAAATGTATTTATCCTTGAACGTGATGTGTAGTGCATCAGAACTTTTCCCTGTTTAAATGTATTTATCATTAAACGTGAATGATGTATCTTCATATACTTCAAACTAGTTTTGAAAATAACCGTGTTTGTTTTACTCTCAACAGGCTTTCTTCTAATACTGCTTTTTCCTGGAGATCCATTAGCACAAAGGAGAATGTATGTGGAGGAAAAGAATAAGAGGTAATATTGTACATGTATCATATCAGAAGAATATGCCTATCTGTATTTAATGTTGTCTACAACAGTTATATTCCTACAATTAACTTACCAAATTTAAACTTTTTAGGTTCGTGTATAAATGAAAGCTTTGTATATAGTGATGTCCCCCGGTGGGAAAGCGGTAAGTCTTCGGAGTTCAGGGGTTTGCTTCCCCTCAGTGAACACAGCAGATAGCCCGATGTGGCTTTGCTATAAGAAAATACAGACATATATGTTGACAAGAAATACAGTTGGTTTCGATAAGTCAGCATTATGTGATTTTTAATACAACTGGTGTAGACAAATCAACATTGTGTGATTTTTAGAACAGTTAGTTCGATAAATCAGCATTATGTGACTTTGAGAACAGTATATGTCGGTAATTTACATTATATGACTATTAGAGTTGCTGACTAAAGAGCATATATTCAAACCAGTGTTTAATCACAGTTTACCACTTTATTATAAAGATCATGTTTACTTTAAAACGACCTTAATTTTGTACTGTAGTCAAATTATTCGATTGCTCAATAATTAGCATTTCATAATCTTCTCGTCCCATGCATCACAACATCCCTGCATTTTTAATTCTAATGTTGCTGAGCTTTAACACATTGATGAGAGATATTTTCGTGTTTAATTTAATATGAAAAAAATAAAATAAAATATGAGCATCTGCTAAAAGATTTATTTGCTCTAGTAATCTGAGCACTATAGTTAGCTGATTTTTAGGATTTTTCTATAAAGTTTTTTTTTTTATTTGAAGTTAAGATTAAAGCTGCACAAGAGGCCATTTGTGCTCTGCCTACCGCGGATATCGAAACCCGGTTTCTAGTGTTGTAAGTCCGTAAACATACTGTTGTGCCACTAGGGTGCTTTTATAAAGGAATTTACAAGCTTATGATAAGCATTGAATAATAAAAGTATTTGTATTTAACCCTAAAATAGTGAATCGATTGAGTAGAAACTTCAACGTATTGGCGATAACACATATATATAAAATACACTAGACTAACTTATCATATAAAACTATTGCTGGGGGCCTTTCAACTTGGACCTTCATTTGCACCTTAAAAAATAGTTTTCAACATATTCATGACATGCAGGACACTCTGTACATTTGTTTAGTAATTCCTGCGATTTTTTCTTAGAGTTTGATCAATCACATCTGAATCTCACAATCACTGAACGATCTAAGACGAGGAAAGTGGTTATACTGAGAAGAACAAAGTATTTTATACCTACTATTTCTTCTGTTTCGCAGTCTTATCGTTCTCTTTTAATTAATTCTAAGTTTTTGGGGCGACCTCTCATTCTGAGCGCATTTAATTCAACGTGAACCCCATTGTGACTGCGTTTATAATTTTATTCGATTCATAAAAACATCAAATCTTCCAGCTTTGTAGTTGTAACTAACGCTCGAATAAACAAAATTTTCGTATACTCTCCCACTATATATTGACTAATTTAGCATTGAAAACACGTATTTTATTATTATTATTAATGGCTTTTACCAAAGTCTTGATGCAGAAAGGGGGAATAACTTTCAATGAAGATTTCTCTGCAAGAAGTGAACCTATGAGCACAAAAATCATATTCTTCGCAAGCTATAATACTGAATTATGAAAGGCTTTATCTGTGCGTTTTGAAGTTGTCATAGAAAACGTTATCGCGTTAAGTACATAAATAAATGGACTAGCTGTGGTCTTTGGTTAGCATGCTGGTGTGCAAATATGAAAATTCAAGATTCGATTCCTGCATGCCACTGAACATGCTCAGCACTTTCATGTGTAGGTAAAGTGTAAAAAAGGATAGTCAATTTCGCTAATCAATTAAGATTATACGTGTAGCCGTCGGTAGCTCAGCGATAAGCTTGAGAGCTTACGACGCTAAAATTAAAGGTTCGATCACTATGGCAGGTGTAACAGAGATGGCTCGTTGTGCAGCTTTGCGCTTAACAACAACAAATAAATTATTAATAGAGGCGGCGAGTGTTGCCTTCCTTCAGGCCAGAATTAAGGCAGCCCATGCTTTGCATAAGATGCCGTTCGGGTTTAAAATGTTAAATACTGTAAATAGATGGATTTAAAGAGGTCAAAGTGATTTTGTTTTGTTTGTTTTAAAGAAAAGCCACAGTGGGCTATATGTATTTTCCACCACGGGGAATCGAACTCCGGATTTTAGCGTTCTAAGCCCTTAAACTTACCGCTGTCCCACCGAGGAACAGTTCAGATAAGAAAAGACTACGCTGGAAAAACAGAAAAATAGTAGTTAGGAGGAAACCTTGTTTGTTTGTTAGCTGAACTTAGTGCAAAGCTACTAGAGGGCCATCTGTACTAGCCGACCATAATTTTGAAGTGACATTTGAAGTGACAGTCTATATAGAAGGCAGCTAGTCAACACCACCCACCGCCAACTCTTTACCGACTACTTTTGTCTAAATTGATTTTAATAATATTGCAATCTCTATTAGTTTGGGTCTAAAACAATCGCTATTATCAAAACTAATGACAAAGTTTAAACGAAAAGGATCACTGATCCATTAGTGCCATGTTAAACATCCACGTACAAGTAAGTAAATTTCAGAATAATTAAAATCCACGACAAAAAACAAACAAACATATTCAAAACACATGATGTATTAGCTTTTAAGTGCACAGTTTTTCCATAATCATGAGTTGTCCGACACAAGTCATAGTAAATGTATATTTATACAGTAGTTAACCCAGCAGCTTTCTATAATAAGTATAGGTATGTGGCAAAAGAGATACTTGGCTGCAATAACTACTCATTCAACACATTAAAAAAGGAACTTTCAACCTGAGCGAAACATATTACTTGCAAATGGGCTTAACGGACAGATAAGAGGAAGACAACAGATTAACCCAACTACTTCGAACCGGATAACGGAACTGACTGGCACTTTTATATCACGCCTCACGTCTCGAACCCAGGACCCTTCAATCCAAAGCTCGATACGCAAACCACTAGCCAAGCCTGACTACACTTAAAAAGAATAGAATTGAAAAGTCCATGAATCATGTTTTCTAAACTTTTGTCTATATGAATATCTATATTTTCATTCTGGTGTTCCTAAGATCAGCTAAACCTTGCATAACCGTAAAACTCATGAGGAATTTTAGAACTTTTGCTATAAAATAAACAGTGCACATGTTTCTCTCAACAAACAACCGTTGAACTGAAGAGGACACGTGAACGTGTCGAAAACTGTATTCAAAACAATTTTGTCCATTGCGAAATTGTGGATCAAAATATGTAGTTGTTGTTGTTTGTAATTAAGCACAAAGCTGCACAATGGGCTATCTGTGCTCTGCCTACCACGGGTATCGAAACCCGGATTCTAGCGTTGTAAGTCCGCAGACATACCGCTGTGCCACTGGGGAGCCAAAATATGTAGAAAAGTAATACTGGTTATTCAACCATGTTTACATCCTTTTTTGTGTTGTCTATCCCTAACCCTTAAGGATCTTTGATCTGGCCCCTTTGTTTACGTCTAGCATGAGGCATCTTTCAGCTTGAAAGTCTTAAATTATTTTGCCTGAATCGTAGATAAACTATTAATCCTAACATCTGAGGTTGATTGTACACAATTAGTGGTTATTTTGGTCATTACAATATACTGCAAACATAAAAAGCAGTAGAATGCCTTTCAGGTGTCCCTCGATAGGACAGCGGCAAGTTTACGAATTGAAAACGCTAAAATCTGGGATTCAGTTCCCCGCGATGGACACAGCATATAGCTCAGTGTGGCTTTGCTCTTTGAGACCAAGAAGCTTTCAGGCTTTTGTATTTTACTTCATTTTGTATTGTGCTGTATGATGTTCATTTAAAACTTGGAGATACAGTTTTAGTAAATAATTATTTCTTATAGTACTTTTTAAAATAAGAAAAGGTTTATAATGTTTTGAATGTCACCGTGTATTTTTCAGTCACTATTAAGCTAAATATTGTGTAAATCAACAAGCTAAGAAACGAAATTTTTCATTCTAATTCTTTTTACTCTAGATCGGAGCAGAAGGTTCCGGAATAATCGTTATCAGACTGGTGGAATATACAGCCATAAGTTTCGTGTGTTTCTTACGAGTTAGTAAAGTAGTAGATGTTATATTAGAAAAAATGAATATTTTTTATCAAAATTTTTGGAATTAAATAATTAAATTTAAAATCCATTTGTCATTAAAGCATTGCCAATAGATTGTTTGTATGAAAAATATGACTGATAAACTGTCGAGTATGCGTGACGATTAGGCATGGATGAAAAAAATAATATTCTTTAAAATGTACTTTGTCTAAATTCAATTGAAATGTTCATAATATAACTCAACAATTAGATTCTGATTTCATCTCTTGCCAACACCAAGATGTCCACGAAGGTCAAACTCACCTTTGGCTACTCAATAACTCTATGAACCATTATCACCATAACACTACAGTAATTACGTTATTACAGTTTAAAAAGTTAATTTTAATTTGTACATACTCGAAGGTATAAAACATTAGACGTTATCATGTCAACATGGTTAATTGTAAACTTTTTCTGTATTCCAAAGTATTATATGAAACCATAAATAAAGTTATCGAACAATACGTGTATTTATAAAAAAAGAGGGAATCTTCAATAGCCGTGGCTGTAATCAGATCTTAGATCGATCAAAAGATAGCGCAATGAGATGAAAGTTTGTACTTGAAAAAACAAAACAAAAAAAAACAGAGCCATTCTATGAGCCGTTGTGCCGCAGCTAAAAAAAGTCTGTACTTTAGAAAGAAGCAACTTCTGTTTGTAAATAATGTTAGCATCAGATTTGCCTCAGTCAGTCAACAACAGTGTTTAATCTTGGCATCAGATGACACATCATCGAAAATGGAGGAAGGAATTCAAGGACAGCAATCTGAAGCACCGTTTCAATTAACTCTTGTGCTTTAGTATATACATATATATACGAACATTCTCGAAATTTACTCAATTACTCAATATTGGGAAATTTATACTAATATCACACAAAAAGAACACGCTCTACACGTTACGGTAGACAACATGATCTACTATCATCAGGAAACATAAACGAATCTCGTTCTTCATCTTCTGAAGATCATGGATCATGTTGTCTACAGAAACACGTAGAGCGTGTCTTGTTTTAAATAGAGTTATTGTGAAATTGGAAACGTTGGTGTTGTGATGGTTATTGAAAGTATGTACAAGTGATGTCAATAAAATGTGTTTAAGAAAAATCGGCTTTGAAATAAACATTTCTGGTTCCTGCATGAACAACATACCAAGTAGTATAAATAATACGTCCTTAGAATGAGGCATTGAAGAGTTGAAAGATGTAGAGTGTATTTGAGACTGTGCTTTTAATTTTCTTTGTTTGTGATTTTACACAGTTGTCCAGGAAGAATTTTATAATAAATTAGTTTCTTAAAAGTAACATCCAGTTCAATTATATATTTCAAACGTTTCAGTTGTGAATAAGAAGTGTGCTTAAGTTGCATAAGGATTTATTAAAAGGAAAGTAAAGAAACTCAATATTTCTTGAAATTTGAAATATTATAGATATGTACATTAATTCTATATACGATGAGAGTAAACATAATTATTGAATGTTTTCTTCTATGCAACTAGATATAGAAATGCATGCGATGAAAAACGTGAAACTGTGGAACTGACATAAACACACAGAAATTCTACATATATTTTAGACTTTAAATAAATCAAGCAATAGTGCGGTTGTGACTTTTGCTGACTGTCTAAATGTTATGATGAACTAAATCAACTCTGAATGTTATAAGTACATGATGGGTTAACACTATCAGGTCTTGTAAACCGGTTCCTCCGGTTTCTATACCTCGCTCTATCGGAAATACTTTTAACTAATAGGATAAGTCCGACCTCCTCAGTCCACTCCGATCGCGTGTTCCTATTGCATTTCAGGTCTAGCTGCGTTCGAACCCATGATGGTGAGTTTGCGCATTATTTCGTATTTTATGGAAAAAGAAACTCTTTTCAGCAGTCTTTATTAACTTTTAAATATGAACATTGATATGTAATGTAGTAAAGCTTTTGAAAGCTGTACGACCATGTTTCGGTTTAAAATTATACTAATTTTCAGCACATGAAGCGACTCAGTTGAGTTCGGTTGTTGCACTTAAACGACACAGCATGTCTCATCTTGTTACAAACTAACAAATCACAGAAAATTTCATGATTTCAATTAAACGATGTTGTTGTTATTTTCTCAAAAACGTGGCGATAAATGCTTTCACCACACTTTTTTGTACTCACTCAGTCTATATTAATAAGAGGGAAAAAACACTCCAAAAGTTTAAACTACGTTTAAGAATGATTTTGTCACTAAGAGATATCCACGAATCACTAGTTTCGTCACTAGTGCGCTGTTCATGAAACACTATCTTGTCATAATATTGTAACGTTAATGAATTCCCTGGTTGTGAAACATTTCCTTGTTTTGACATCATACCGTTAGTGAATGTACAGGTTGTGAAACATTGTCTTGTTATAATATGATAACTTTAGTTAATTTACTGGTTGTGAAACATTGCCTTGTTTTAATATGATGACGTTAGTAAAAGACAGGTTGTGAAACATTGTCTTGTTATAATATGATAACTTTAGTTAATTTACTGGTTGTGAAACATTGCCTTGTTTTAATATGATAACGTTAGTAAAAGACAGGTTGTGAAACATTGTCTTGTTATAATATGATAACTTTAGTTAATTTACTGGTTGTGAAACATTGCCTTGTTTTAATATGAGAACGTTAGTAAAGGACAGGTTGTGAAACATTGTCTTGTTATAATATGATAACTTTAGTTAATTTACTGGTTGTGACACATTGCCTTGTTTTAATATGATAACGTTAGTAAAGGACAGGTTGTGAAACATTGTCTTGTTATAATATGATAACTTTAGTTAATTTACTGGTTGTGAAACATTGCCTTGTTTTAATATGATAACGTTAGTAAAGGACAGGTTGTGAAACATTGTCTTGTTATAATATGATAACTTTAGTTAATTTACTGGTTGTGACACATTGCCTTGTTTTGACATCATACCGTTAGTGAATGTACAGGTTGTGTAACATTACCTTGTTTTTATATGATAATGTTAAGATATAGACGAAGTTATAACTTTCCTCCAATCTTTCATGTTCTAATTCAGTGAAAAGTATTCTTGATGTTTGTGAGCAATGAACGCTAAAATGTGCTGAAATACATTATTTCAATGAGGTAGCTTATTGCTTTCATTTCTAAAGAAAGTGACAATTTTTCTAAATAATGTGTACACTGAGTGGTCACAAGTAAATAGACACCTAATTTTT